CCATTTTGGTTGATTGAGCGGTAGTTCGAACTTTGCTAGATTTCACAAAAATGTGGACTCGCTGGAACTTTGAAAGTACCTTTCTGAAAATAGTTCACCAAAAAGGTATTTTTGACACATCAAAAGAAAATCCGAATTTTCCGACCTGTCGTCGGATTCTTCATATTTACAGGCAATGGCTCTTAGTATTCATTATGAAATATTTACTCGTTTAAAATTGTCTTTTTTTCAAAGTTCAAAGTATTTTTACGACAATAAAAATTGAACATTTTAACTCTTAAAGTGCATGGCAATCTTTATACCAACTAGACGCTCTAAGAGCGTTTACTCGGGCTTCGTACCGCAGTATCAAATCGTACTTTACGACACAATATTGGACATGCACGATAAAAGCAAATTAAAGAATCAGGATATTTTAGCACAAGAGTTCCGCTTAGATATTTACCATTCAAAGTTGCTTCGTTGAGTATCCTCCTCATCCTATCGCAAGTTGTGAGTTTAAACCATATTGGTTCAAGAATGAAGCACAGCTGTCTACGCATTCAAGGAGAGCTTGTTTGCAAAGAATTTTCGAGGTCTTTTTACAACTTATGGCGATTACTTTGTACATGCTGGCAGAAATTGAACGAAGTTCGTTTACTGGTCGTGGCGATCCGAGTAAATTGTGTAGCTGAACATCTTTGCCGTGTTGCGATCTTAAACCCTTTTCAAGAGTCATATCTCCTTTGCAGAGCGAATAATCCCTTTCGAGAGAGCCAAAACAATCATGATAAACTTCTTCGCGAAAACAACAGTCCTATGACTAGGCGCAAATTACATCGCACATAATTTGCATAAACTTTCAAGTTGTGTATTTTGCGGATAACTTCCAAGAATTTGCGACCCTTAATGCTGTTTATGAAGAAATATTCAAGCTACATATTTTTTATTGAATCAAGGCAGGAGTATTTTTAAAAAGGACTCTTATTTATAAGGGAAGATGCGGCATTCTGTTTTGCTATTTATTTTGGTTTCATACTCGTCTAGTTCATGTCAAGCAACATGATTTTCTTTTCCAGTCAGACACAGTTTTCTAAAAGAATTGGCGATTGCTAAGACTGCTAAATATATTTGAACTACTGGTGAAATAACTGGCTGAACTATCGTTTATGCAGATTTTCCTTTGGACTTGGTAAGAACATTGGATCGTCAATAATCCCGCACAATTCCCCGCTCAATCGAAGGTTTAATTTTCCCGCACAAATTTGCCTCCAAATTCACCCGTTATTTTTTTGTTCCTGCACCCTACTAGAAAGCCAACTAACTTGGAGGTAAGATATTTAATTCAAGTTAACGAAAGTCTTATCTTTACAACTTTGGAGATCGACATATTTTGCGCGGTGCAGGAAACAAGTCGCATGTTTTTAATGAGCTACGAGTCCAGAAACGTTTTCGTATTTAGGTCGTTTTATTACAATATGATTTGCTTTACTGCAATGTTCTAAATAATAACAGCAGTAGCCACATACCGTCATTGACTGCCTATTATTTGTCAGTGTTTTCGTAGTTTGAACTCATACCGCAATCGGCTCAGTTGTTATCTCACGAGAACGTTTCGAGCTTGGCCTTCGCTTACCTGGCTGGCTTTCAAGCAATATAATTCGTGGACCGACCCTTTCCGAAAACGATCGACATCTTTGCATGTGAGATGAACGTATAAGGCGCGATTCTTGCCAAAACTTTCTTCGCAAAATACCGCATTCTGTCACGAAGAGCGAGCAATGTCGCGTTTCTCGTCCCCAGTTTCCATGGTCTACGCATGGAACGCCTGGGACCATGACCCACCTTTTGGCGACCAAAACACTTGTATTTTATGACTAGGGCGACGGAAGCCCGAGTAACAAGAACGTGAAATGACCAAGTTCTGTGTAGTCGAAGGAACGCGAACGTGGACGGCTAATTTTTCGTGTTTCCATTTGGAATTGAACGCTGGCATTACACATTTAACCTGAGCACGTTTTAAGAGCCATTGGCGTACTGAACAAATCTAGGCAGCTGCCTAGTAAAATATAAATTCATTTTTGACTAGACGTCGTCTTCGGCGTCGCCGTCGTAGTTGCTTAAGCTCCCTAATTGCACAAGGCAGCCGCGCCCGCAATACAAGCGGTAAGCAAAACTGAACTGTCCTATCGAAACGAGACAATAACGTTTGTTTACCTCTTCACAACTCAGTATTCAACCTGGGGACACTTGGCGAGCGAGCTGGAGTTGTCGGACTCGCTAGAAAAAGTTTGGCAAAAAGTTTGCTGCCAAATTTAAAAAGAAATTTTGGCTAAAAAACAGCTTTGTTCCAAATTACAAGCTGGTGTTTGTGATAATGTGCTAATTTATGTATAAAGTGTACAAGAATGTGCATGAGTGAATAAGAGCATGAATAAGTATGTCGTAATTTATGCGTCCTTAGTCAGTTGTATGATGTAACGCGACGGTTAGGATCTCTTTAGCATTAAAGCGTTTCTTCTTCAAATGCTCTTGAAGTGCTGTTAAAGATCTGTTAAATATAAAACAGTGTTCATATTAACTTGCTTCAGCGATTTGAAGTCGATAATTTCGCTTCTACCATTTTCTGCGCACCGCCATGTTTCAATATTTTTGCAAAGCATAATGGGAACTTATGACGTCATTGCGCGCTTGGATGTTATTAAAATGCAACATTGCGTAAGTCTAGAGAAATGAGCTTCTAATCGTTTATAATTAATTTTTCAGATGAACATGTACAGCTCTAATGAAAAATCTTCTGTAGACTCCATATTAAGAACTCTGACCTCCTGAATGACGTCATAAATTACCACTGATAAAATGAAAACCAAACACACTGTTTGGGTATGCTTTGAAACTTTTAAGATTCCCTTTAAAACTTCTAAGCCAAAAAAGTCTCATTGTTTTTCCTAAAATTTGGTGTGGTTGCTGGCATTTAAATCTCTCTTTGTAAATATTCAAAGCCGTTTCCAGCGAGAAAACTGGCCCGACTTTAATAGCTTTGCATTAAAGTGCGCCTAACCTCAAAATTTTTTTCGCTAAAATAATAAAGCTTATTTTGTGGAGTAATCTGCCGCAAAGATTTTTCGATTTGGTTAAATCCTTGATTTTCTAGGGCTCGTCAAAGTACGTCAAAACGCCGCCATTTTGGTTCAGGACCGAGTTTAACGGGGCATGGGTCGAGGGCCGGATGTGACGTCAAATCCAGAACACGGTGATTCTGTAAATTCGCATATTTACTTGTTTCTGTGAGGAAAGGCTGAGAAAGTAGTTCGAAAAAATGCTGGCCAGGTGCGTTGTAGTGGGATGTAGCAACACAGCAAACGTACAGGAGGTACTGCGTTTCATGCCATACCGTTTTATGGAGAGATGATCGTCCTGAAGAGAAGAAACGCACAAAGCGATGTATCGATTTCGTGAAAGCGAAACGTGCAA